TTCCAAACTCTGAAGAAGTGTTTGTAGTGCTTAGTGTTTTATTAGGCTCCCATGCTTAGGTTGATTAGACCATCGCTTATGCGCTTGCTCTAGGTGTTTGCCTAGTGTTTAAGTGAGGTTTGCATACCTCTTGCCACCCGTGCTTGTGAGCACAAGTGTTGTACATCGGAGGGCTGATTTCAAGTGCGCTGAAGTGAAAGGCGGCGGGAGCATCGGGTCTGTGGCTACATTGAGACCGATGCTTCTCACTATGGGTCCGGGAGGTGTTGTGCTCCTTCTTGGGGAGGGACATCCACTCGCTTTCCTTAGTCGGGGAAGCTCGGTAAAAAATGCGAGACGGAGTTTGCATATCTCTACCTTGCTCTTTAAGCCCCAATAACCAAGGTTTGTTGGCATAGTTTAGAGAGAAAGAGTACATGGCTATCCTCATTGTTGTCGATCATATTTGGCGCTCATACTTGCGTGGTTGGGATGGTGAGTTTATCATCATTTACCTAGATCACAAGAGTCTCACCCATTTGAGTGATGAAAAGAAATGCATTTTAATGCTAGAGCTAAGAATTGCTTGTTTGAATCATTTAGCATGGCAACAAAAAGTTTTCACTCAAAACAAGTAATGTCCTGTTGAGGGTTGCTATGAATGATGATGAGCTTGTTCGTGATCGCTCGATTATAAATCAATGAGCTCCATTCAATAGGATTATTAAAGCTAGCGGAATCGATAATCGTCTGAGTTCTACCACAAAAGATGCATCTATCTTCACAACGCCTTAGCCACCCGGCATTGGATTGGGCTAGTGGCATTTGAAATGTCACGGTGTCACCTCCGGTGCCCTCTCGGCTCGACGCCATCATCCATAATAGTTATAACTCGATGCTCAAGTGAAGAAGAAGATGAGGATGATGATGATGGCTCAAGTGGAATTATTGACTAAGTTATTAATGTTGATCGAAACTCAATGAACCTCACTTCTCTATGCACCAAGGGCTACTTCTGAGTACAAGGGACACATTTGGGTTTCCAAACAAGCCCACACCCAAGACAAAGAAGAAGGCGTGCAAAAACGATGTGATCCTCCAACATAAGATTATTGTGGCTTTCCATTCTTCAGTGAGGTGGGTGGCTCGGGATTTCCTACAACCTACCAAGAAGTCAAGAATCAAAGCCACTCTGTTGAACTATCTACTAAAATTGAGCAACTTGAGGCAGTGCAACAACAAGTCTAAAATCCTAAAAAGAAAAGTTCAGCTCTGGGTTTGTTAAAATGGAAATCATGTGCAAACATTGTGATGAGCTAACAAATGTCCTACTTGTCAAGGCATCTAAAAAGAAATGCATAATTAAAAAGCCCGATCACCGCGATTGTAGTATGCACCGGGTCTCCTCAAGAAGTAGACTTTTACTCGGTTCCCACTATGGCGTGGCAAAGCATTTCGATGGACTTTGTGGATGGACTTCCACCATCTGGGGGCAAGAATTGCATTCTGGTGATTGTGGATCGTTTTTCCAAGTATGCACACTTCATCCCAATGACTCACCCATTTATTGCTCTTACGAAAGGGACTGGAATTTGCCAAGACATTTATCACCAATGTGTACCGCCTCCATGGTGCGCCATTGTCCATTGATGTTATTTTAAATTGGTACATCTCCGAGACAAGGTGTTCATCGAGTCGGCTATGGCTAAGAGCTCTTCCGTTTCATATGGTAGGCTTGCTGCTCGGTGGCGTCACTCTCAAGATGTCTTCTATTTACCATCCCAAAGCAAATTGCGAGCAAAATATCATCTTTCAAGTGGTATTTTGACTCCAAAATCAATTGTGCATGAGTACTACATGTCTCCATGAAACGTTCTTGCGTTGCTTTGTATATGCTTTCTCCATGCATTATATATATTAAACTCCTGTCATATGCGCTAAGTCTATATAATCTCGATTGGATTTACACGGCGAATATTGGTACAACACTACATGGCATTCTAGGGGAGAATTTGAAGGAGCTATTCACCATTCTTTGTTCTCTATGGTCATCATCCTAAGCGCCGGGATCTCTAAAGACATGCTTTTGAGTAAAGTTTTAATTGATATCTATCAAGTAGTATCATATAACCTTGCCGGTCATCCCTCTCGATGATTGGATGAAGGAGAAGACCCATTCAATGAACACGCAAATTAGACATGAATTTGCAAGTGTTTGTTTTGTAGTCCAATAGGGTGCAAGACGTGACGCTCGGGCTTAGATGATCAACATCAAGCAAGACCTTAGAAGCACAAGAAAAGACAAGATGTCAAGCAAAGTCCAAGACAAATCCAAGCCTCGCAAGAGCGCCAATTCGAGGCGGCCGACCGATCGATCGACGCTGGGTGTACCTCAACCGGTGGTTGCAGACCGACCGGACGCCTGGCAAGTAAACCGACCGGACGCGAGAACGCGTCCAAGCATCCTTGCCTTGCGCGCTAATCAAAAGCTAGCATTCAAATTCCTCAACCTACTACTTTCCGCTTTCAGTCGCCATTTGAGTAGAGTGGAGCGAGAAACATATCAAGAGCGTTGATACACCAAACTCAAGCTTCTTAGTGATTAGGTGGATTCAGCTATCCACGCCCGTCTTCCATGTGTCCCACCCTCTTGTGAGCACAAGTGTTGTACATCGGAGGGCGGCAGATCGCGTTGTCTCACACATCTCACTCGGTGGATGATCTCCCCAACACTCTCGATGGGTTGCATCGGATTCCGTGGTGAAGGCCCGAGGCCCCACGGAGCCGACCGGGAGCTTGGCCCTTGCGAGGGATTCTCTTGCGAGGGGCTCCAACGAGACGGGGAAGCCACGCTTCTCGATACCTCGGTAAAAATATGACCACGGAGTTTGCATATCTCTACCGTGCCACGGTGCTCGCATTTGCAATGGTCAAATCTCCGGTGAGCGTTCACTAGCCACCGTAGGAAGACATTGAAAAAGAGGCCATAAGCTTTACTTAGGCGCCACGCGGTTTCACATTCGCCCGCTACTGCTTGGGGACAAGCGGGTCTTCGTCTTCCATGTGGCTCAAGACGGGATGTTAGCATCGCCGGTGGATGATCTCCCCAACACTCTCGGGGGAGGAACATGATCTGAGCACAGCCACCGCCAGCGGACAACGCCGACTCGTGAGAATGCATCGTTCGGTCGCACAGGAAACAGCAGCGGCGTACTAGAACTAAGGAGAAGCGACCGAGCCCGGTGCGCCAATGTGCGATTCGGTGGACACGAGTGGGCGTGAATCCTAGGCTAGACACAGCTACGCATGTGTGATTCACGCCGAGGCCAGTGCCTTGTGTAAATACCGAGAGAGAGACAGAGGGAAGGGGGGAGAAAACACAATCAGAACCGAATCAATACTAAGCTTCCTCCTCCAGCTATCTTGCGTGTTTTCCCCTTCATGCTTCCTTTCTTCTTCCCCGATCATTCCCCAATTCTACCCGAATCCTTCCCCTCGGATCTATGATGCTAACACATTCATACAGGGGAAACAAAGAATTGACCGTAGCCACACGACACGGTATTCAGATTTTTCGGATGTACCCACGTGTACGCCCGCGAAGTATCTGAAGTCAGGCTGATGCATGGTTTGCATGGTATAGCCACCTTCTCGGATATTACACTTACGCGTGCATTGACAGGTAATTGATTTAGATATATATTCAGGTTCAGATTCAGATGGTTTGTTGCTTGGTCAAATTTTCAATGGATCTGGATTTTGCCGGTACAAGGACGAACCAAACCTCTCGGCTTATTATATTATTATCCGCTGCGAGACGAAATCTGTACACTGATCTCTTAGCGCATCATTCCGGCTTTTGCAAGTTGCATGCAGCTGTGTTGCAACATGCAGATCTCTTCTGTCAAGAATCGGCTCCATGCGTGGAGATCTGAGGATATATGTGAGGAACATGGCGAAGAACATGTTAGTAGAGAATACAGGATAGCAGGTGGTGTGGCGCTGTGTCATTTGGAGAAAGAAAGTGATATGTGAAAATGAACTATGAACCGAAATTATCCTGTAGAATGAAATGGATCACGTTGTAGTATCTTTCAATTTGTGTTTGCACTTTGCAGACAACCATACCAGTACCAAAAGATCCAATTGACGTGATTTAGACCAGAGAGATATTGCATTGCTAGTGGGTTTTTTGTTTTTTTGACAGAGAGAACATTGCTAGTGCCTAGTGGCTATGTGAAAAGTTTTTTTTTTTTTGAGCAAAGGCTATGTGATATGTTTTTTTCTTTTTCGGAACAGGCTAGGTGATAAGTGATAACTGTTTGTTTGGACAGGTCCTGCGTATAAGACGGGCCAAGCCCATGCTTCCTGATGGGCCTTGAACTCCATGTTTTCGTTGGGCAGTCCGAGCTCATGCTGCCTGCTGCCGCGCTGCGCCAGCCGTCTCCCCTATGTTCGGCGGAGCAAGAGAAGTCTTCCAATGGGCCGGTTCCAACTGCAAACGCAAAACCACCGCCCACCCACAGGTGCCAGAATGACATGCTCTGCTCGCTCTGATTGGTGGAGTGACGCGGCCGGCCTCCAGCCCGCCGCATTGCTGATGTCGAATCAGACCCAGGGGCCATCCACCGAAACGAAACGATACGCCGCCACCGTGTCGCGCGCTCGCCTACGGGCTACGGGCACCGTTTGCCTAATTTCGTTCGCCGACCCAGGTGGCCATGCCGATTAGCACTTCTGCACTTGCATTTGGCGTGGCGGTCTGCGGTATTGCCGTGCCGGTCCCTTGGTATGTGATCAGTCCTTGGTTTGCTCGTCCCGTCTCCCACACAGATCACGGAACACAGGAAAATGTTTGTGTTGGTTCTACTCCTACGTGAAGGCCGGAAGAGCAGCTAGCCTTAGCTCCCTATATATGCCTGCTCAAACGATCCTTCGTTCAGCGACATCATCTCTTGTCTTCCCACTCGATCGGGTTAGATTACCATCAGCTTAAACCACCATTTATTCACCAATTGGATATGCCGCTTCTCGTTCTGCGCGTGCCGCTCGTTTCAACCAATAATGTATGTACTGGCGCTGCATCTCCTGTAGCAGCAGCAGCAGCAACAACAACAACAACAGAGCATTCCGATGGCCTCCTGTTCGATGGTCTTGTTCTGGGCCATGGTGACGACGTCAACAATAAGGCCGAGGCGGACAACGACGACGCACCGACCGAGAAACTGGAGTGGCTGAGGTCGCAGATCATCGGCGCGGAAGCAGAGTTCGCGTCCCCGTTCGGCACTCGCCGCATCACGTACGCGGACCACACGGCGTCCGGCCGCTGCCTGCGGTTCGTCGAGGAGTTCGTCACTCGGAACGTTCTGCCTTTCTATGGTGAGTACCATACGTGCCGTGAACAGCTCCTATTTTCCTCGACACACAAATACGACTCGGTGCTTATATACGCATGTGGACGGCGATTGGCAGGAAACACTCACACGACGGACAGCTACGTGGGCCTGCACACGAGCAAGCTGGCCGGGGACGCGGCGCGGTACGTGAAGCGCAGCCTGGGCGCCGGGCCGCAGGACATTCTGCTGTTCTGCGGCACGGGGTGCACCGCGGCCATCAAGCGGCTGCAGGAAGTGACGGGCATGGCCGTCCCACCCACGCTGCGCGCCGCGGTGCTGGCCGCGCTGCCGCCGTCCGACCGGTGGGTGGTCTTCGTGGGGCCCTACGAGCACCACTCGAACCTTCTCAGCTGGCGGGAGAGCCTCGCGGAGGTGGTGGAGATCGGGCTGCGCCCCGACCCCGAGGACGGCGGCGGCGGCGTCCTGGACCTGGCCGCGCTGGAGGCGGAGCTGGCAGCGCGCGCGCCCTCGGGGCGGCCCATGCTGGGCGCCTTCTCGGCGTGCAGCAACGTCACCGGGCTGCGCACCGACACCCGCGCCGTGGCGGCGGTCCTGCACCGCCACGGCGCCTACGCCTGCTTCGACTTCGCGTGCAGCGCGCCCTACGTGCGCGTCGACATGCGGCCGTCGGGCGACGGCGACGCGGACGACGGCTACGACGCCGTGTTCCTGAGCGCGCACAAGTTCCTCGGCGGGCCGGGGAGCCCCGGCGTGCTGGCCATGGCGTCGCGGCTCTACGCCCTCCGCGGCACCGCGCCGTCCACCTGCGGCGGGGGCACCGTACACTACGTCAGCGCCTACGGCGACACGGTGTACTGCGAGGACGCCGAGGAGCGCGAGGACGCCGGAACGCCGGCGATCATACAGAAGGTCCGGGCGGCGCTGGCGTTCCGAGTGAAGGAGTGGGTCGGGGAGGCGTGCATCGAGGCGCAGGAGGCACGCATGCTCGCGCTGGCTCTCCGCCGTGTCCGCGCGGGGGCCAACCCCAACCTGCGCCTGCTGCAAGGCGCGGACAACGCCGCGAGCGCGCCTCGGCTCCCGGTGCTCTCCTTCGTGGTGTACGCCCCGCGAGACCGAGACGCGACTGAGCCTCCCGAGGCCGAGGGCGGATGGGGCAGTAGGCTGCAGCTGCACTGCCGGTTCGTGACGAAGCTTCTGAACGACCTGTTCGGTGTGCAGGCGCGCGCGGGGTGCGCGTGCGCGGGGCCATACGCCCACCGGCTCCTCGGCATCAGTCCGGCGCGCGCCAAAGCCATCAGATCTGCCGTGGACCAGGTACGTAAACCCGATGATTAAACGTGGATCGAGTGATTGATCACTTGTTTTACTCGGATGGTACGTATGTGTACAGGGCTACCACGGGGTGCGACCCGGGTGGACGCGCGTCAGCCTCGCCTACTACACGTCGATGCAGGAGGCCGAGTTCGTGTTGGACGCCGTTGCCTTCGTCGCCAGCTTCGGCCACCGGTTCCTGCCGCTGTACGCCTTCGACTGGAAAACCGGAGACTGGCACTACGACCACAGCTGCGCCCGTGGACTCGTGCCAAACAACGTCGGCAATCCCGGTGGACGAGTCAAAGCCGAGAACGGCTACCAGAGCTACATGGCATTCGCGCACTGCCTGGCGGAGTCCTTGGCTACCACCACTTGCAGTGGGCTCAGTAGCACTCGTGCTAGACGTATTCCCAAGAGCGTCGACCCACAGTTAGTCTATTTCCTCGTGTGAGTCGTCAATTGTGCAGGCTTCGTTTCAGAGGCTATATACTACTCCGTCCTATTGAACATCTGAGTACGGTTAGAACTACTGGAGGATAATTTCATGGTATAATTTCATGGTATATGTATGAGGTGATTGGAAGAACATAGTACATGTAGAGATCAGGGTGTATGTTTATGCCGTCTTGACCAGATCATCAGAGTGAGACTTCAACTCAACTTTTACTTATCCTGACCTGAAGAGTTGGATGGCGGCATGGCGCACCGTGCATGCATCTCCCCAACTGAACTAGAAAACGTGCCATGAGTTCGACCTAAAAACTGTGGAAGATGGAGATTTACTCCAGTGCAGTAGCACCCACCGTTGGCTGATGTAAAACTGAAAGGAAAAAAATCAACATTATCTCCCTTGCCTTTTGCGAAAGTCTGTTTTTCTTTCATGAACTCTAAAACTGGGTAACTCGGTCAGAGAGGTAAAACGAACCATTTTAAAAGTTTAGAGAGATGGTTTACCGGTTTTAAAATTCAAAGAGAAAAAACAGATTTTTGTAAAAGTTGAGCGAGATGATTTAGACTTTTTTTTCAAACCGAAGCGGACGAGGGAACCGCGTTGCTCCCATAGTCCCATCCCATGGCTATGGGAGACTTTTACCTGTGTACCCTTAAAAAAGATGCCACACCCCCTCTGCGTACCCCTCAAAAGTTGATCGTCACCTACATGCCCTCGCTTGAACTTTTCTTTTCCCTCATGCCGTTCCGTTGGCATTGGCTCCCAATGGTGGGTAACGGCTCTGGAGAATGACTCAGTTGCCCTTTTCATTTCCCCTGTGCCATTGCCAGGGCTTTGAGGGTGCTTCATGATGCTCTGCACCACGGCATGGGAGCTCCCGACGGAGTACCTGAACCCCTGGAAGCTCAGGCTGAGGCCGTGCATGGCGGCCTTGACGCCCTTGTTGAACCCGCGCGCCAGCTCGTTGAGGACGTCGATGCAGGCGCCCAGCGGGTGCAGGCTCCGCGGGTAGGGGCAGCACCCGATCGGCGGGACGTCGATCACCGCGAACTTCCTCGCCCCGAGCACGTACAGAGCCTGATTCAACCGCCGCCGGCCGGCCGGCCGGCCGCAACACACGTTTCGTTTCAGCGAGGTTTCTCGGCGGGTCATGCATGGTTCAGAGAGAACGGGGAGGCGCGGCGACGTACCTTCACATGGTTCTGGTACAGCGCGACGAGGTTGCCGACGTACTGCTGCTTGTCGGCGTCCGACGGCGTGCTGTTCCGCGAGAAGAAGGCGAACAGGTCGTTGCCGCCGGTGCTGACGAGGAACAGGGACCGCGACAGCAGGGCGTCGGCGGCAGCCCCGTTGCCGACGCGCGAGGAGATGTTGCGCTGCACGGCGGCGAATTGCTCCACCTGCTTGCTCAGCGGGATGATGGAGCTCCCCTGCACGAACAGAGTCATCCACGTGTGTCATCTTTGCTTGCAGTTGCAGTGCCCGTGCAGGAAAGTAAACGTGCACGGTAACTCTGGTCACGAGTGGCTTACTGTTGTGTCGAGAATGCCTGATCCTGCAGAGGCGAAGTTTACTGCCAGGAGACCTCTGAAGACCTGCTTGTTGGTCTTGTTGGCCACGGCGAGGAACGGCGGCGGGCTGCGCTTGAAGCCCATGTTCACAGCTGGTAGAGTTGAACCAAAGCCTTTTAGTTTTAGTTTTAGCACCAGATGAACATGTTCACAACACGATTCTCCTGCTCGCTGCAGTTCTCGTGTTCTCAGAACTTGAAGAATACTCTACAATCATTTTCGAAACTGTTCTGTTTCCTACTTGTAGTTGCAGACAACAACTAAAGGATTGACAAGAGCAAATGTTCAGAGCAGTTGAGCGACAGTTTAGATTTTATCGTCTCAAAGGTGCTCAGGAAAAAGGTGTGTTCGCCGCGCCGCCCCGTTCTCTCTGAACCATGCATGACCCGCCGAGAAACCTCGCTGAAACGAAACGTGTGTTGCGGCCGGCCGGCCGGCCGGCGGCGGTTGAATCAGGCTCTGTACGTGCTCGGGGCGAGGAAGTTCGCGGTGATCGACGTCCCGCCGATCGGGTGCTGCCCCTACCCGCGGAGCCTGCACCCGCTGGGCGCCTGCATCGACGTCCTCAACGAGCTGGCGCGCGGGTTCAACAAGGGCGTCAAGGCCGCCACGCACAGCCTCAGCCTGAGCTTCCAGGGGTTCAGGTACTCCGTCGGGAGCTCCCATGCCGTGGTGCAGAGCATCACGAAGCACCCTCAAAGGCCTCGCAATGGCACAGGAGAAACGAAAAAGTTTAGATGTCCATACAAGTTCAAGGGCAACTGAGTCATTTTCCAGAGCCGTTACCCACCGTTATGAGTAAATGCCGACGGAATGGCATGAGGGAAAAGAAAAATTCAAGCGAGGACATATAGGTGACGACCAACTTTTGAAAAATACATAGAAAATGATATCTTTTATTTTTAAAGATACACAGGTAAAAGCCTCTGGCTATGGAGCCGGCCCACATGGCCACCTTTCTTCAATCCCGCCGCTAGAACAGGAAAGAGCCGACGACACCTTCTACTATACACTACCGGATTATCCATTATTATCGGTTTATTTACCCACTGTGCCCGCGTTGTGCGGTCTCCGGCTCTCCGCATTCGGGACTCCCTTCGGACCCCTGAGCCCTGACAACTGCATCCGAAGATGGCCAGAAGAACCAGATCCGCGGCCACAGCCGTGCTGGTCCTCCTGGTCTGCGCGACGGCGGTCTCGGCGCCGGCGGCCGCTGCCGCCGCCGGGGCGGGCAAGGGCAAGGGCAAGGGCAAGGTCGGATCGGGCCGCGCGGGGCGGCCGCCACCGTGCCAGGATCAGGCGACGCGGGGCGATTGCGCGGCGAGAGCTGGGTGCCGGTGGTGCCGCAGCGAGGCGCTCGACGACATGTGCTTCGGGGCCACCGAGGCGTGGCGCCTCCCACGCCAGGTCTTCTCCTGCGACCCGCCCTCCGGCGCCGCGCGCGCTCTCTTGAAGTGATGTGATGCCGCCGCTGCGCCCGCCTTGTTGTTCGGGATTGCTCCATCTGACTGACCTTTGCTTTCGCCAGGCCTCCGTTGTTTCTCCTTTTGTCTTTGCTAGATCTGAGATTTAATTAGAATAGTGTAGTTGTTTTGCTATGTGATTCTTTCCTGCGGTTATGTATTGTAAAATCTGGTCAAAATCCAATCAGAGCGTGGCAAATATTGTCGTTCTCTTTTTTTTTTAATCTAAATCATTGTCGTTCTTGAAGTGCAATGACCTGTCATTTGGAATTTTGGATCAGTTCTTCATGCGGACAATTTTCTGTGTGGTCGCTAATACTGCAACTTAGCAGTAGCCAGTAGGTACCGCCAGCACGGGATCAAAACGAGACGTCCAGATTGGCCGCCAAGCACTGTAGCATACCGGCGCGAAATCACCACTGTAACTAAAATACTGTCATGCATTACCGTAGCAATCGCTCTGATGCGTTCATTAGGGCATTTTCAGTGTTTCATTACATTACTTTTGAAAGTGAGGCGTGTCAGCGTGTGGATGATAAATGAAACAAAATTTACAGTGCATAGTTTCGTTAGGTCATTTCCAATGCTAGGTTTCATTATACTGTTTTTAAGAGTGAGGCGTGAATGATAAAATGAAATAAAATCTACAGACACAATTTCATTTCAGTTTTATAGGTCTAAATATTTGAACGATGCACGACATTACGAAATGAAATGTTTTTAATGGATTTTCACTCAGTTTCCAATACGTTGATAACTATGTGAATTAGGTTCATCTCTCTCTCTCGCCCCAATGAAACTCCATAGAAGGCAACGATAACATGGTTCCACATGTCAGGGAAACTTGTCAGATGACTTACGAAATAATTCTTCCTGCTTTCAATATTAAGTGTACAATATATTATATCTTTACAGTTGCGCTGAGAAGGACAATAAGAAGAAAAAAGTCCAAATTAGTCCCTTTAAGTTTTTCCTATATCCAAATAGCCCCCTAAACTAACTATTTGTTCGATTTACTCTCCCTATTTCAATTGCCTAATTTAGCTCTTAACAAGTTTTGTCTTTTTGCTAGTGGATGTTCTTGTTGTTTATTATAATTAGTCAATATTGACAATTCAGACTATGTAGAAGGTCAAGTGGCTTCGACGACAACAAGCACAACCAAAAAGACACACCGAGGCCTTGTTCAGTTAATCTCCTACCCGAGAGGATTGGAAGGGATTGAAGGAGATTGTATGGAGTTTATTAAATCCCCTTCAAATCGTAAACCTTGAGGGAGGATGACATCAAAGCTATGGCAGCTATGGACAACAATCCATTAGAGCAACTCCAAAACTCTCTATATCGTTTTTTATTTATATGACTAGAGATTTTTGTAAAAAAAAATGCTCAAATAGCTTCTTTAATTAGATCTCCAAACATTATCATCCTCTATTTCTGATTTCTCGTTAGCCAAAATGAATAGTGGCTCTCTAAAACATATAAAAGATATAGAAAAATTGTTGAATGATGGAAATATATGGAACACGATTTTTATTCAAATGATTCTCCAAATAAGAATTTAAAGAATGAGTTTAAGAAAGACTCTTAAACATACTCATACATGTTCTCGTTTTCCCCTGTTTTCTCGGACTCAAGATCCACGTTCTCGTTTTCCCCTGTTTTCTCGGACTCAAGATCGAGTACCTGCTTCTTGGCTTATAGTCCCAATTACTATCCACCATACTTGATTATACATTTATAATCTAGTCTTAGCTTGTTTCAGCTTATTCTCTCTCATAGAACACTATTAAATCAACCGAAATCAGCCAAAATAAGTTCGAAATGTGACCAGCCGAACACTATTAGATTTTTTGTTCGTGTAGGCAGCTCATGTGCGATGTGACGGTAATTGGTACCTCCAGTTTGATAGTTGAAGCATATGACGTTCTGTTATGGGTATATGGGTATTTAGCAGGGTGCTAGGGGATTTGACATCTACTTTAATAACAAATAAACATCAAAAGGAATACATTGAAGACTTAAATATTTCCAGGTGAGGCATCATAAGACAGATAATGATTTTTTAGGAAAAAAAATTGAAACTAGTTCCATATTTTTCGAAACTAAAATAGAACTGTCTAAGTTAAACAAGATTTTACGTATTTTAATTGCATGTTTTTCTAGAAAAAATTAGATATTTTTTGAAGAAAAATATTTATTATCCCTAAACTATTAGGGATGAAAACAATCAGAAACGATACTGTAATACAAAATCCGAAACCAATTGGTATGGGATTTTTAAAAAAACGGTAAAAAAAGGCTGTGCTAAAACCTCAAAATGAGAACTTCCATGGTAAAAAGCAATATTATAATACAGAAAATGATATTGATCGAAACTGGATGAACTATCAATGTAGTTCGATTTACCCTTTGTAGTAAGTTCAAAGAGGACCAAAATTCATGCGGGCATGTTTGCTTGCTGGCTGCCAGGCAGGTTTGAGGTTTGCAGCCAGGCAAGAATCTGGACCCAGGCCACCAAAATCCAGCGCCTGGGAATCCTTGCCTGGGCCAAGCAGGTTCAGTACTTCAAGCAAATAGGTTCAGCATAATAGTACATTTGGGTTCGACTGTAGCACATACAGAATGTTTCATGATCATGCTGCAACCTGTCCGACTGTAAACTGGAAGTTGCGTCGTGTACCTAACTCCAGTCAAAAGTAATGCCAGACTGATTACCAGGTAGAGATTAAAAATCCCCAAAAGGTTGTAAACAATGCCTTAAAATGCATCTCAATTGACCTGTACGCTGCTCAGCTTTGAATTAACCATTATGAGCTGAAATTATTCATGTAGATAGACATTAAAGCCAGTAAAAACACTGATCTAGTTCACTGTATATCCTAGTGCCTTCACCGGCAGCCGGCCAGCTGTAAAGAACCAGGAGCCATCTAGCTCCACAAAGTCTGGTTCAGATGATAGCCAGGCACAACAGCTTCGCATGTCTACGATCTACATACTCCAGAAATCAAACTACTGGAGATATGATTACTATTTACAGCTTTGTGAGCAATTCGACATTCCTCTAGTGTAATGCAAGGAATGCAATTGATGGAAAGCAGACACAGGGAATCAAAGAACTCTCAGCTGAGCTAGAAAGTCCGCGCACAAGTCCAGAAAGAGGAGCTGTGGTCCACTGACTCTTTGCAAGTCGAGGAGGTATTTCTCGTCTCTTGTTTTGTAAAGCTGCAACAAGTGACGACACATCACAAAGATGAAAAATAAAGCGCACACAATACGAATAAAGAAAATGTGGTCCCAGTCGTATAGGATTCTTGATCATGCGAGACTGCATCAGATGCAGGTATGTCAGCGCCACAATTTAGTGCGCAACATAAGTGGTAAATACATATGGAAACAAAACGTATAGTGTGTTATACATAATGATAAATTCAATTCAAATAAGTCTTGACTATATCTGCATTGGATGGAAGCAGTCATCATTATTGGAGCAAGCATAAGGATGGCAGAGTGCATGGGATATGAAATCAAGTGCAATTTGTACTGCACGAGATTTGTGAAGCTGTCCCATCCTTAAAATAATGGGCTATCTCCACATGTTAACAACTGGAAATTTAGTGTGTGTGTATATATATATATAAAAGGATATCGAAGCGCAAGGGATCTCAGGGGGAGAGCCAGATTTGCAGTATTATATAACATCTATAAAGGTCCCAGCGTTTAACCAGAGGGTATAAAGACAGTAGGAGATTGTAAATCGCACCAGAAGGTCTTCTATTGAGACATTAGTAATAAATATTAAATATACCAGAAACAGAAAAAAAACATGAATCATACCTGAATTTCAAACTTAACTAAATTTAACTTCTCACTTTGGCCATCAGTTTCAATGGACTCTGCACTGAAGTTATGATTGTTATGAATTTGACCAGGAAAGCCAGGACTCCATCTGCACTTCATGTTATAGTGACCAATCTTTTTCCAGTAAACATTCAATTCTTGCAGAGCTTTCAGCACTTCAGTCATTATTTCTCTTGGATGTGCTCGCGACTAACACAAAACAAAGAAATGTTGAATGGAAGAAGCAAATAGTTAAACAATAGAGGCAACTTGAAATTAGATTACCTGAAGCCCAAGAGCCCATTTCCTCTCAGCTGGAAAATGCGGTCTCAAGCCAACCGGAGACTCCATAAATATTTGCTGTCGATTACCGCGTGCTGAACTTGGTGTTTCATATGATGCTATGTTTGAAAATGAGGAGTCCTGTGTGCCAAGAAAACAAAACAGAAAAAATGTCTGGATTTAAGTCACCACAGCAAACAATATAAGATGTGGAAAATTGTCTGGATTTAAATTACCACAGCAAACAATATATGATGAGGAAAATTGTCTGGATTTAAATTACCACAGCAAACAATATATGATGTGGAATTGTGGATCAACAGAGTAAGCCGAACTATCAAGGGATAAAAATATAATATGACTCATTTGCTCACCATAGCTTCTTGACATTCAGCTCCAAGATAGCCACTGGTTGTGCGAAGCCTATTGTCCAACAGTAAGTAATAAGCAACAGTCGCCTGTACATTTTAGGTCCAATGATCCAGTCACGATCATTACAGTAAAAAAAGATGTATGAAGACAATAAAGTGCAAAAAATATAATACCTCATTTTGCAGCCTGTTTTGGATTGATTCCACCAACAGGTTCTTGTCATACCCCATACCTATAACCTCACGGAGAGTTTCCTCATCAATCTACAAAAGGGGGAGCAAATTTAAACATTATCTTATGTAAACTACGTGACCAGAAGAAAAAAAGCATGCTACCACAATGCAGACCCAATACTGCTAGAGTAGATCACATTCACACAAGACAGAAAAAAGGTTACACAAGTGGAATGGGAAATATTGTGGATACTAGATACGGTTTAAAGAAAAAAGGTTACAGAAAACATTATTAGGAAGATGAAATACTTTAATAAGATAGAAGATA